ACATTGCCGCCAAAACACACGCACACCCTCTGAACCCAATTTGAATTTGACATGACAGGTGACACTTCTCTGGTCATAAAACTTGAGGAATCACGTCTCCTGCCTCAAGTCTCTCTAGCCAGTTGAACAGTGGCACAACTCTCAGACCTGGTAGCTTTTATGGGTAGGCGGGCAGATGTGCTTACGGCACACATCCTATTTGTGCAGGTAGGTGTGTCCATGCACACACGTTTGGTAAAATTGGTCAATGGTAGCAAGGGATCCTCAAAACCCTCTTAAAAGGTGGATTTTAAAGGACAAGGAATAGACGTTCTGCCGTCTAAAATGCATAAATAGTGGTACAGACGGTTTCCAAGCCTCATCATGAGGCAAGTTAATTTTTTGAATAAAAGAACTCTTAAAGATTGGTAAAAACGACTGCGATATACGGTTTGTTGGAGTTCGACTGATAAATTATGCGTATTTTATAGCGAGAGGACGCAGCTTCCGTGCCCACGATTTTGTATGCAAGTTGTGCTGGCTAACATGTGGAGGTTCGCCATGATCCACCAAAGATGAAAGAGCCTCATTCATAGCGGAAAATTTGAAGTCATTTTGGAGCAAAGCGATATTTCTCGCCTATCCGAGGCATGATCGCTCACCCTTAAGCGTGTGCTACAACCGCTAAAAGGTACGGAAAGTGCAGAGAAACAGGAGAACAATATTTTATGCGAAGACGTTCACTCTATCTTTAGTACCACAAGTTGAGATTTTATGTATTTGTACGCAACCTGTGTTGCAAGAAAACTTTTGTGAAACAGACAAATTTGAGCTGCAATCATTGGGCATGTTGTGGCACATGGATACAAAGGGATAGGAAACGTGAGCGGAAGCATGCTGTACTCTATTGCCGTTTTTTAATGTAGCGATAGCGGCAATCCCGTGTAGTTCAGCCGTCTCGACTGGCTGCGGGATCAAAATGGATTGAAGCATACGGAAAGCTGTCAGACAGTTTGGTCAACATCTTTGACTGAAAAACAGTGAATCTGAACGCCAACTGCAACCTTACCAACACTTAAGAAGTAAGGCCGGTTCGTAGCCTTTGAAATGGATAAGTTACAGGTCGAGATGGCATTACACGGGACACGGAGACATGCACCAATCACTGCGTCGGTAAGCAATGCTGCTCCCCTTCTTATTGGTCGATTTGCTTATGCTAAGACTATTTAGTGCACATTGACAGCATCAGAAGTTTCATGGCTGCTTTTAGTGTGACCAAAGCTTAAAAACTAATAAAATCTCCTAAAAGTTGATTTTTTGAATATGTCGAGCAGTTTTAGCAAGATAAATAAACCTTTTTTGCCAGCTACGGAGTTGTCAATTTTCAAACATGATCAAATGGTATTAAATTAACGATTTGGCATTTTGTACGCTAGGTGAAAGTCATTGGACTGAATTTAAACTAACAGGAGTCAAAGTTCCTTTCATAGTGCATCTTCTTTGCCTCAGCTGGGGCCAAAGTCGTGCAGAGTGTAGGGAGGCTGGAGAGAATCTCTTGTCAAGAGAAAGGAAAACGAGTCCTTTGACCTCGCATTAATTAAACAGCACACTCATCCACATGATTCCTTCAATTTTCACATTCAACTTTTACATAATGCGACAATGACCCTCCGGTTGTGTCACTGGTGCCTCCTTCCACCTCTCTTACTGGCCTCGATTTGATAAACGGTAAAGGAACAATACAAGCCAATTCAAGGAAGTCATGTCTTACAAAAATTCCCTCATTAAGCATTCATTTTTTAAGCTGAATAAAAATTTGTTAAAATTGTGAACTTGAAATTTTGCATTCTTAATATGAAAAGTCTACTTAGCATATATGCAGATGTGCTGAGTTTAGAATTTGGATTTTGGAGACAAAGGCATTTGTGCAATTCACATTGGGTGTATAAAAAGTTCAATGCCGAGGAGAGGCGACACTTCAAACTGGACGCGGGGGGATTAAAGTGTGAGGATGACTCGCTCAAGACCCTTTACCACCCTTAATGTGCCGAATTACATCTCTTAGGGAAGACCTTTTTTCGAAGAACCACAAACGGAGAGTTTAGTCGCCTGTGCTGACGTCATGATGGTGGCTTTTAGACGAGAGGAGGAGGAGGAGGAGGAGGAGGTGCAACTTGCATTTCCTGACGTACAGGGAGCATAGTACGCTAATCAACTAACGCTTGTTCATATCACTCAGTCTTTTTAGGATATCAGGTCTCCGGAACAGCAGATGATCGTGGAAGGTGCCACATGTCCGATGCGTTAAACTTCCATTCAATCTAAAGGCGGAGCTATCAGAGCATTCGTACTCGGTGCATCGACGCCGACTGAAGAATTTATCCTAAAGGAAACAATTCCCTTCATACTTGACGACACAATCAGAGCTGTGAGTAAACTGTCCTTTTGTTCTTGAACGTGGAGAATCGGAAACAACTTTCAGTGACCTCTACCATCAGAACGTCGGAGGCTTTGCACTTCTGAAATTCATGACTCTTCTAAATGGTGCATTTCTTGACAGATGTTACAAAAGCGCAGACCACTGACACACAGAGGAGAAAATAGCATAGCTGTCAGTGGATGGTTGCTGACAGTGCTGGAGACATTCGTCGAGGTCTGGAGTTTCATGATGCAGTAACGATTTACTGCATTCGGGGGCATTGAGGTGTAGGGAGGACGGGACCACCTGAAACACATTTCTACACCTCTGAGCATCATGTAAATTGTTGTTGGCACAAGACCAACAACAAATACTCTCGCCGTTGTGTTTCTCAACAGCAAAATGGGATTTGGTGGGGATGACTGCTGCAAGAAGCCATCAAGCGGTGCAATCTGTTGGAGTTAGAACCCTTGCATCGTAGCAACTCCACCCAAATGTAGGTTAACCCAAAGAGTGAGGAGGAAATTGCTCAAATTTCTTGCTCATTTAACTTCTTGGTTGGTTCAGCCATTTTCACCAATCGATGAACTTGATGATAGCGCACATTGACTTAATTAGTGGTTTTTGAGTTGTTTAAATGCATCAAATGATCAACCTAAACTCGCACTTTTAACGCTCTCTCACCTTCTTCGTGTTCCCCTTGTCAAATGTGGGTCACCGTAGTAACCACCTTCCACATAATCGATCCAAAGTGAGGCGAATTCGCAGAAGTAAGTAACTGAGTCGAGTCGTCAAGCGCATTCTTGGATTTCCGTGCTGCAGTCTTTGGAGTGGCAAAGGTTGATTGCATGGACAGGAGACAGAACTGAGTAACAAAGTGAAAGGTCGTCGTGAGTTCATAGCATCATCCACCTCGTGGCAATCCTTACCACAGCACAATGCTGGAAATTTCGGAGCTTCACTCCTGGTCCGATGGATCAATCCACACGACGCCCACGCAAGCGACTGAAAACAAACACCTCCTGTGCTAGTCATCACTCAGTACTCTACAATGCCAACCGCACAATTTAGGAGTCAATTTGAGACAGAAGTGAAAGGTCAAAGACACTGAACTCGACTATTTGCTTCCTGAGGAAAGAAATACAAAGTGGGTTGTAGAAAAGGTGTGCCACTTTCCACAATAGACGTGAATTGCTAATTTGGGCAAACCAAAGACATTTCCGTGGGTCTACTTCACTCCCTGTGCGTCCGCTTTTCCTAGAAGCCCTTTATCTCCAAAAAAATAGTTTAAGACTCTCGATGATGCATTGAGAACTACTGCTTTATGAGGAAGGAGGCTCAACACAACTTTAGGAGGTGTTGACACACCGTTCGGCGGAGGGGATGGAGAAATTGTCTTTCTATAGAAGTCTTCTCACAGTACGCTCCTTTTCACACTGTTCGTTGCCACCTTTGCCATCGGATTTTCTGGCATTGCACTTCATACAGGCCTGTGACAAGGTGTGTGTGCGAACGTAGGCGCAAAAACGAGGCAATGGACTCGCAATTCACATACAAACACACACACACGCAGAGTTAGAAAGGGGACTGTAATGAAGTTAAAATTAATGCAAAGTACCCGGTCAAAATATTTAAGCGATGGTGAAGCAATCACTCACCAGTTGCCCTGTGAGCTGTGTGGACTAGAATGGGGGAGTCCCCACCACCTCACAAATGGACGTTTCCATTTTAAAAGCAGAAGGAGGCACTTCATAGCGTATTGCTACTTCTCACAGTCCAGTCTCACACCATTAAATGAGCATTTTAGCAAAAGAAAAACATACCTTGTGTTGCAAAATGCAGTTCTTCTTGAAGCCTTAGAATCCTTGCAGTAGACCTATTTACATGCACTAATCCGCAGTCTCAGATAAATTACGCCCGGTAAAAAGGTCAAAGGCAGAACTTTTGGTCCATTGATTTCCTTAACCACTGAAACAAACCTTCAAATAATGCAAAATTTTGCTATAGAACAAGGGAGGTAAGACACTTTTACAAAAACACAACAATGGAATCATAACAGACAACGGAGCACTTTGACAATGATACTTGTGATTGGGAGGAGAAGAGCTAGCCCGTCTTTGGGAAGCTCATACCTCCATACCGCTGGTGCACACATTCTAATTTCTTCCCATTTGTCGGAAATAATGCATTATCCTTTCAACAATGCAAACAAACCTCCCTTGCTTTGCTAAGTTTAAACTCACCCCTCGATTTCGACCCTCCGATCTGATGTATCTTTGCATAGTTTGTTAGTCCTTATACTA